GTTGGAAACGACCTGCAAGATCATCCAGTCCAACCACCCTCCCATTCCTATCAGTGCCACAAGCTACTAAACCATCTCTCGTAGCTCCTCATCCAGGCACCTCTTGAACACTGCCAGGGACGGCGACTCCACCACCTCCCTGGGCAGCCATTCCAGTGCCTGACCACCCTTTGAGAGAAAAAGTTTCTCCTAATATCCAACCTAAACCTCCTCTGGTATAACTTCTTGCCATTTCCTCGGGTCCTACTATTTGCCTGGGAGAAGAGGCCAGACCCTTTTGCACCACAACCTCCCTTCAGGAAGTTGTAGAGTGCAATGAGGTCTCCCCTGAGCCTCCTCTTCTCCAGACTAAACAATCCCAGCTCACTCAGCCGCTCCTCATAAGACTTGTGTCCCAGACCCCTCACCAGTTTCATTGCCCTTCTCTGGACATGCTCCAGGACCTCAATGTCTTTCTTGTAGTGAGGAGACAAAACTGAACACAGTACTCGAGGTGCAGCCTCACCATTGCTGAGTAGAGGGGGATGATCACCTCCCTGCAGAAACAAGAAAGTTTGGGATCTGGTTTTCCCTGTGTAGGTCTGTAAATCAGGATTTTTCACATGGTCCCGTGAGGCATCTCAAGTACATTCCTTTCCTCCTTAGAAGGCAGCAACAAGGAATTAAGGTGAATTAAGGTTTCCCTAGTGTTTCCTGGAAAGCAGAACAGGACAGGCCTGACTCCTGGAAAGTGGAACAAGGATGGGCCTGAATTCCAGTCTACCTGATGACTAATTCAAATAGTAGGAAAGCCACAAGGTCAGAAACACAGCAAAATAAATAAATGAATAACATTTCTTTTTTGAAAAAGTTTTAAAGTTAGAAGTTTATAAAAAGGGCTCAACTCCAAATTCTTTTCAGCTCTAACAAAGGAAAACAGAACATGAAGATACACAAAAACTATCAGAAACAGATTATAGTGAAAAAGTGCAGTTCTATGCACATCTGTGTTGTAACTGGAAAGTCAACTGGTGAAGTCAAAACCATGAAATGCTGTTTTACCAAACACTAAGAACTTGTTCCACCACTGTTGCCTTAAACAACATCTGTATTGGGCCCAGCTGGAATAATACCAGCGAAACACAGTTTACAAGGCAGTACAGACTTGTGGATTATGTCCTTTAGCTTGTTTATTCTCGATTCTGTGGCTTTGCTTTTTTTCATCTCTCTCTCAAATTCAGGATGCTCTTCCTACTAATTCATCCTCTAAAGGTAAGGCTTTTTCTTTGCATCAGTTCCTGTCTAGAAAGGCCACACTGTCTTCATCAGGGATGGAACATTAATGCTTCATGGAATCATAAAAATCAGAGAAAGTATGACAAATAATAACTCTGACACCTATGCACCACAACTGTTTCCTCTTATGAATCATTTGCATCAGTAAAATATTCCAAGTATAACAGTGCTGAAGTGAAGCACTACACACTGGATAGCACTGGCTTAGTGGAAAAAAGAAGAGATAACATCAAGTAAAAAATGCCCAAGCCTCTCTCCTTTCTGATGAAACAAAAAACTCTAGAAGCTAGGTATAGCTGAAGGAGCAGTGGCTCAAATACTTGACAGAAGAAGGTACCTAAAATACCAGCATTTCCTGCTCTGAGGTTTTGTGACCCCACACATAGATAGCACTTGCGTGGACTACAGAACTTTTTCAGCAACTGAAAAACAATCATAATAGTAAAGAAGGTATTGCTTTTATGGCAAAACATAATACCAACCAACTTTTTCTTTTCAATTAAACATGTATTTACACAATATATGTATATACTGCAAAATCTTACAATAGCCAAGAGTCTGACACAAAGTTGTGACACAGCTTATAACCAACTCATCATTTGTTCTTTGGTACAATGAATGTGGCGAAAAATTACCAGACAAGTAATGTTCATCCGTACTGAGGCCACTATAACATCACCAGAAATACACATAGGCCTGTTTTCTACGTAAATAAAACTACAGAACATATAGAATCATCATGAAGTTTCTGTGGGACATCTGCACCAAGTGCAGGAAGGGAGGCTGCACAGAGCAGAGTGCAATAACCCTTCTATACAGCTAGCAGTGGTGGAGCTGATATACCCCAGGGCTGGCCCTTAGGGCTGCCAGGGCATGCTGCTGGATCACACTCAACTTGCCAACAGCCAGAGCCCCCAGTTTCCTTTGTATGAGGTTGTTCTTCAGCCTCATGTCCTCTGTTTGTGCACGGATCCAGGGCTGCCCAGTGCAGAATCCAGTGCCTAGGTGCAGAATTCAGCACTTGCTCTTGTTGACTTTCACATGATTGTTGATTGCCCAGCCCTCTGAGTCAAAGTAGTTAAAATAATTTATTGGTAAAGAACATTTGAGAACAGCAACAACACTTTCTTTGTCATTCTACACAAATCAATGCTTGTGGAGGTGAAAGCTAAAACACATATATTTGGTGTAGTGAACCACATGTGTTCTAGCTTCCTGAACAGCACATCGATACAAAACCTCTGCAATAGTTCTGAAAGTCACTGACATCTGAAGGGTGTATTGGCACTGTTCCTTTGCAGCTGCGGGAGGCAAGATGTTCTTTCCACCTTCTATCACTACAAGGAAATCCCAGTCCACAAGACCAGGAATCTCCTGGAGAGATGAATTGAGCACACGAATTCCAAAGCGATATTAAGAATGAAAAGAGAACTTGTTCACGAGTCTGCACATAATTACAAAGCAAAATCAGTTAGATTATTCTCCCTCAAGTTATCAAGTTGACTCCACTGGTCCCTGTGGAGGCTCAATTAAGTAGCTTGCAACTTGAAGAGGAAAGCAGCTCAGTGGATTTTATAGAATACTACCACTCATTCTAGAACTACCTAAAGACCGAAATATACTCTTTGATTAGGAAAACATTCTGTATGTTCTGCCAAACAGAAGAGCATTGTAGACAAAGACAATTCTTTGCACATTTTCAGAGAACAGGTAAGTACTAAAATACTTTTTTCAACAGTCTAATGTAAATACTAATCCGCGATGTTGTGAAAAAAAAAAAAAAAAGTTGATATTTTAACACTGCAATGGGAGAACCTTTAGGATCATAGAATCAGAAAGTCATTTGAGTTGGAAGGGACCCTTAAAGGTCATCTAGTCCAACTCCCCTGCAATGAACAGGGATACCTACAGCTAGACCACGTTGCTCATCCCCCTCAAGCCTTGCCTTCTATGTCACCAAGGATGTGGCATTCACTGCCTTTCTGGGCACTCTGTGCCAGTATCTCACCACCCTTTGAAGAACTATTTCACTGACATGCAATGAAGTTTCCACCTGCAGCTGTATGCATTTGGCAAGCAGAGCTTCACTTCTGCAATGTTATTTTAGGACAGTAAAAAAAAAAAAAAAAAAAGTATCCCAGAATTAATCTTACACTTACTGCAGAGGATCAGTAACTTTGTCTGAAATTCACAGTAAATTTAAAGCAATCATTCTATGTTAGTGAGCAGAATATCAAATGAAACTATTTAAAATGACAAATACCAGAAAATTTTCTTCCTTCAAAACTGACAATACATAGAATGTTCCTCTCTGTCCAGTACAATATTCTGCTATAAGAACTGCTACAGTAATTTACTTATAGAAGGCTTTTTGGTTAAAGCTCATGTCTTGCAGTCTATTCAACATGAATGAGAACAGTACTGTCAACTGCTACAGTACTGTCAACTGTCACAGTTCATTACTCCACATGAACAGTATGCAGAAAACTCCACACTGACTCCAGAAGATGAGCTTAAAAAGTAGCAGTAACTTTCAGAAGAGCACCAAAAGAAAAAAAAAAGAAAACCTAAAAAATAAAGGATGGGAGGAGCAGGAGCTTGAAAATCATAAAATGGCCTGGGTTGAAAAGGACCACAATGATCATCTAGTTTCAACCCCCCTGCTATGTGCAGGGTTGCCAACCAGCAGACCAGGCTGCCCAGTGCCGCATCCAGCCTCTCTTTCCCCCAGTCACCTCTCCCCAAAATTTTTAGGTTCCCCACCATTGAATCTCATAGGAAGCCCAAAAGTGCTGATTTCTTACTGAATATTGTCATATGGAACTAAACCACATCTTCCTTTTTTAACTGTTCCTGGTTGCAGCATATTGCAGATGTAAAATCCATTACAAAGCACAGTGCACTCAGGCAAGCACATCTACAAAGCAAGAGCAATACGTGCAGTACAGAAACAGTTGTGAAAGTGCTGCTTAATGCCAAAGTACTACAAAGTGCTTTACGATCTAGATACAAAAATATTTCATTTTATGCGAAGACTGTTCTTTCTGCAGCATTAAGTACTAGTAAAAAGACAACACTGCATAGATTACATTAGCAAAGAAGATAAAAGATTCCTACCATTTATGTAAACCTATTGTACCTCCAGACTCCAGGAGAGAGGAAGAGTTAAATATTCTCAAAGGTCGGGGAATATATTTTTCTTGTGGAAAGAACAGTTTGAAATGTAATTGTTTTTAATAATCATGTTTTTCTCTCTCAAAATGCATGCAGTCTGACCTATAAAAGTAATTTCTTATCCAAATGCTAATGGTAGATAGAAATGGAAAGCATAAAAGTTATTTTGAGACAGAGCTGAAATCATCTGCCAGCAGCACAGAGTGCTTTCTTAAGTCACATTTTCTTTAAGATCCTACACCAGAAACCTTCACAATGCTGTTCAAATCACGATAAATAGAGTTATACTGTTTCACAGTACTTGTCCTAGTCACAAGATTAAATAAAAGCATTTCTAATTGTTTTATTCAGGAGCTCTAAAGTAACTCTCTGGTGCTTGGACCTTGGACCCTGTTGACTGATCTTCTTTTATCTTTTTAGTTATCTCAATCTTTCCTATCTTGTTAAAAGCAAATTTCCATGGAGAACACAAGCATTAGAAACAAACAAACAAAAACCCAACAGCAGAAGAAAAACAAATGAAACCCCAGAAAGTTGTCATAGTTACTTGCCTCTGGGCAATTTCTGAGCACTTCCCAGGTTTACTGCAATATATCCACAGAAAAGGAGAAGGACCAATCTTGGCATCATGGTTACAAACCCAAGCTCACACCGTGAATGATTCTGACAGGTATCACACCAAAGTACTGCAGCTGCATTTAAGGGAACGGTTCTCTCTGTGACAAGAGGCAGCAACACTTTGACACAAGCGTAGTTCACACAGTGGGAGGAGACAGGATGACATCATTCACTCCCACTGGAAAAGGAGAATTAGCAGTGAAAAAAAAAAAAAAAAAAAAAGATTATCAGGCCGCCCCTACAATCATCTTGTGCTTTTTTTTTTTTTTCCACAGTGTCCCTCCACCTCATAGGATAGATTCTTGACTGGTCATTTAAATTTCACACAAATAAAATCAGACGTTTCAAGACCTTCATTAACTGAAAACTGTTCCATGAAATATTTTCACTGCTTTATCCAAGAAAGCTGGACTTAACCTGCAAAATTAGCATTCACGCTGCTCAGACATCTGCTGTTCTATTGAACTCAATATTTCTGCAATTTCAAGATTTTGCTTAGGATTTCTAGACTTGGCTTTCCTTCATGCAAAATTAATACCACTTACGCTTGACTTGACATTATAAATAGGCAAGATAAATATTTATTCAGTGAAAGATTTGTGTTTTCAAAACTAAACATTCTTTTTCTTTTTTTTAATACATGATTTTGTCACTTTGTACACGGCTGTTGAGTCACTGGGAAGAATACTCAGTAAAAGCAGAAAGGCAATGCATCTGCCAGAGGTCAGACCCTCTCATTAACTATATAATTTTAAATGTAAAAAAAATACCATTAGTTAATTCCACTAAAATCTATTTCACTACACAATGAGCCAAATAGGCATAATATTTGGTCTTTCCCATAACTAAGAGGGTGGAAAGAAAAGGGTGGAGCAAAATAAAAAGATTACAAATGAATAAGGAAGAATTTAGTCTCTGCATAAGGAAAAGCAGAGCCAAAGAGGTTACACTTATTAAACTAAACAGTGATCTCTCTCTCTCTGCTCCCTGTCATTGCTCTTCCTCATCAAAAACACAAGAAAATATTTTTCTGATTTACTAATTCAAATCTGGGAGTAGTAAGTTGAAAGTCAACATTATAGACAGACCCCTATGGAAATTTCCATACACCATTAACACAAGGGTCTTTGTGAGGATATAGACTCTGAAAGTGGGTTGTTTTATATGAGTGCTAAGAATAGATAAATGCAGCAACTACAATTTGGATGAGATGTAAAGATATTAAAAAGGACATGGGGATGGATAGCAGTGTCCAAAAACATTGACCACACCTGGTGGCCAAAGTGTTCCAAGTGACAGAAAGCACAGAAAGCTGGATACACATAGCAAATTTGTTGTAGTCCTTTTTCCTTTTTTTTTTTTATTTTTTTTTTTTTTTTTTTATTTTTATTAAATAAAATGCTTTTTAAAGAAATGTTCCATGAAGCATATCCTGTTCTTCCATTTCAAAATTAAAAAAGAAAACTGATTGTTTGACAGAGTAGTTTCTTAAGAGAAGGGATGAGAAAATTAATTCTGGATGACACACGGCTATCTTTTTAGTACGGCAAAGTGGACTCTATTGGCTTGTCTCATGGCCAACTAACTCTCCTTTTAAAGATCACAGAACACCTTTCAACAAACTGTACAAAGGCCAGTTTCAGTTCAGGAAAATCTCAGAGAAACATGCTTCTATTTGGCTATCTAACAACACAGATTTTATTCCATTTTACAGAGATAAATAAACTCCCATTCCTGCTATCATAACCACTTGCTTCCCTGCTGCCAGTTCCACCTTTCCTCTTCCTTCTGTGCACTATCCAAACAATTCTTCTTTGTTTGGTGTGCCAAATACTTAACCTTCCCCTTGAAAGTCTGGCAGACTCTAGGTCTCTTCCTCTCTGATCATTCCTGTAGATAATAGCTCAGGTCAGCCCAGAATTTAAAAAACCATATCACAATGCATTTCCTTCCATCTTATCAAGTACGTGTTTCATCAGAGGCAATTATATATTGATGAGTAGATGCAAGCATAAAGTTATGTCAAACATACTCTGAGAGTCCGAACTCACTAGTACAACATTCTCTTTTTCCAGTGTGCTCCCTCCATCTGTATCATCCATGTAATAAGTGATTTTGTACACTACTTTTCTTATAGGACTGGCCTTTTGTAGGAAACTTCTGTTGCACGAAACAAATGGAAAAAACACACCTATTTCTGCTTTCCTCTTTCCTAAATCTTTCTGCAGTTCACTGAATGCTGCATGCTATAGTGAAAGAACAACCACAGGAACAGACTGAGTTCCTGGGTTCAGGTATTGCATTTCTCTTCTTGTTGGAGAGCTGCTCCACAATCTGCATTTAAACAGAGGCAGTCTCTGGTTTCATTTCACAGAAACAAAATTTGTACATCACACTTCACAACAGAAATTATCTAACACAGACGTTCCTCAGGATTCTCTCATCCACACAATCCTGAAATTAAATTACCCATTTTTGACTCCTACAATCGCATCAGGAGAGGATTAAATACAGGAGGCTCAGTTCATGATAGTTTTGTGCTGATAAACCTTAGCAAAAAGGCAAGAAAAATGAGGTAAGAACAGTTATGAAAAGTCTCAGATCACATTTGTTCAGGAAAAGTAATGTAAAAGGCAAAAGATTTGGCCCCCTAACAGCTCCTCCTCTTCAGCACCACATTAATGCTTAAGTAACAAAGACAAATACTCAAACGTTTACTTGCTTACCTCAGCTTTCACTGGGTCTCTCTGGGGCAGATCTCAAAAACAGAGATTCCAACAAGATGGTATCACTGCTAGTCTGGGAGCAGAACAGAGCTTTTCGAGTTCTATTTTAATAGTTCCCAGACCAGCGATTATAGTAAAAACAAGACTAAAGGAAGGAAAAGAGAAAGGTGGGGGAACAGAGGCTGGGGAGAGCAGGAGATGGGATTTTACATTTTGTTTCCAAATACAAATATTCCTTTGTTGAAATTTGGGCTCAGTTCTGTTTCATCTATCAGCCCTGATTATTTTGACAAGCCAAAGCCAAGGTGACTCAACTCCTTACTTTTCTAATCTAAAACAGGGCAAATGTGTAAAACAACCTTAAAAAATGAAATCCTCTCTTCCTTCTGTAAAGCACAGTAATAGAGCATTGAGTTCACTAGGTGTAAAAGCTTACTTTTTGCACACTTGATCCATCTTCATCACAGTAAGGTGCGTGTATACTATATCCTCCACCAGTGTTGTCAGTTGAGAAATGCCTGTCATACAATACGCTATGTAAATGTTAATTATTATAATCATTTTCTTGCACATGACTCAATTATTGGTCTCCTTTTCTTACAAATGTCATAGGACCTACAGAAAAAGAAAGACACCAAAGAGTATTCTTACAGAGGTGTTGCACGAAAGGAAAAAGAAAATCATTCCTCTTCTGAGAGGATACAATTAGCTTTTCTTCCTCATCCTTCTTTTCTTACTACCAGGCACAAATTTTTGAACTCTCATGTTAACACTTCATAGCTTGCTAATCTGTTGGTCAAAAGTGAGGTGAGATGTACTCCTATTTAACAGCATATTTATGACACTGTCAGTGGATTATTGCATCCTCATGCCAAACTGAGTTTCACATCTCAAAATTAGTGAAATCAGAGACAAAATTGAATGGAGGAAAAGTAGTCAAAAGGCATGAGCAGAATGAGAGCAGGGCTCTCGTGACCATTTATTCTATGGTTTATCAACTGTTCCAGCATTCACTCATTTGACGCTTGTAATCTCAGACAGTGACTCATCTTTACTAGCAGGCTGTGTGTTTCTCCAAAGTTCTGCATGACATGGAGTGAGGTAACAAAGGCATTTTTTATTTTCTCAATGAGTTTATTATTTTATCTTGATGCGTTCTTCGTTACTCAATACAGTTTGCTTGGTGCTGCACTTTCTCCTACGTTATCATTACTCAATACATAAAGATAGAGAATCAGTGTAATCCCAGATTTTCAACTCCGCCCTGATCTCAGTATTTTTGCCTTATTTTACTTGGGCTTTATTTTGTCTTTTATTAATTATTTCTTAGTATTCCAAAACTCTGTAATCACCTGTAATTTTGTGTGTTTTCTGTCACATTATATATTGTGTTGCTATCTTTTAAAGGAGCCCAGGACCATGCTGACCTGCTGTGTTGTCAGAGCTCACTGCTGGCTCCAGTGCATCTTGCTATCCACCAAGATCCCCAGATCCCTTCCAGCAGAGCTCCTCCACAACCAATCAGATCCCAGCCTATGTCATTGGAGGGGTTCTTCCCACTCAAGTGCAAGACTTTGCAGCTGAGCTTGCTGAATTTTCTAAGATTCCTGTTGGCCCATTTCTCTAGTATGTCTAGGTTGCTCTGGATGAAAGCACTGCCCTCAAGAGTATTACCATGTTGTCCCAATTTTGTGTCCCTTGAAAATTTGACAAGAGTCCAGTTATCTCCTCCAGGTCACTGACAAAAAAGTTACTGGACAGGTTCTAAGATGTGGTACTCCCCATTTTATCAGCATTCAGGTAGAGCATAATCCATTAACCACAGCTTTTTGATGCCAATCATACAACCACTCACCTAACTAGCTGATCACACTTTGTATGAACTGAAAATATACAGAAGTATATTCTGTAAAACACATTCTGTCTGTGCTATAATGATTTTGAAACACTACTGAGAAGACAATTTCTTTGAACAAGTACTCAATACATATAAATACTTATCTAAAGAGCTCCTTCTGTGAAGTCTTCCTCATTGCTGATACATCTTAACAGAAATAAATTGAGTAACCTTATACAACACCTGTAGCAAAACCCAGCCCATCCTTTCAAGCACTGTATAGTTACTGAGTACTGAAAGACATCGCTGTCTAAAGAAAGCTACTTTCATATTAGAAGATAGTCATCAACATATTTGTGCCACTTGAGACAGTTAACACAAATGCAGCCTTTCCATTAATGGAATGTCTCCTCTGCAACATTTGTCCCAAATGTGTCCTGTCCATATCTCTATTTCCACCATATCTTTAAATGCTTTAAATACTTACTTTTTTCATAAACAGTATCTGTCTGTGCTAAAATGCAGGCAAATGCAAAGAGCAAAAGACATAAAGGCATGCAACAATAAC